TATTTATAATATAAATATTATTAAGAACTTGAAATAATTAAAATTTTTCTGCCTGTATTCCAACTCTCTTTCATTCAATCAATGTTGACCTTTAATTCACAGAATTTGTATTGTGGATGAATGTTCACAAAGTTTTCATTATGAGGACAAAAAGTACAGGAAGAAAGTATCAGTGGCTGTAAATTCTGAGTTCTATTTGCTGAAAAAAGTAACAAAGGATAAAAAAGTATAGAAAGAAAATTTCAGTGACCGTGAAATATCTTATAGCAAAAAACCCACTGCCGTCGAGTCTATTCTGACTCATAGTGAACTGACAGGACAAATGTAAGTGGTTATTTACTGAAATGAAATTTAGTAAGTTTTTAATTTGAAAAATATCCCTAAAATTTATCCCAACAATAAAGTTGACACATTCAAAGCAAAATGTCAAAATGTGCATGACAAATGGAGCAGTTTTCCCCCAAAGACTAGCAACATGCATCTTAGCATACCTGAGGCACTTTAGGTATGGTAGATATTAAATTACACCTAGAACTGGAAATACAACAATCGGTGTTTAAAAAAAAAAAAAAAAGGCAATAGAATTGCGAGGACAAAGTATAAGGAAAAATGCTTTTGTTTTTTGGCAAATAGCTCTGGCTTTTGCCTGAAATTACTGAAGATATCACCACCTTAAAAAGGAGATTATTGCAATATGACATGAAACATGACTGATGAAAAAGAGTCAGCTAGTATTGTTCCTGCCTGGCCAAAACAACATGTGACATAAAAATATTTCCTGGATTTTGATTTGACCAGTCACTTAACTAATAATTTCTTGACAAGGTAAGTACTAAGTGTCTTTGGAAGACTTGAAAGGTATGAATATGTGATGCAGTAATTTATTTTACTGAAAAATGTCCACATTGTTTCATCAAACTTGTTTTTATAACCAGGTTGTAATTCCTTGTATCACTCAGATGATTACTTAAGAACATGTTAAAAGTCCTATCAGTGATCGCACTGGGAAAATCTTAGCTAAACATGTAGAAATATTGCACCTGGGATGTGAAGTTACATGCCTCCCAGTTAAATTATGTTAATACGAAGTGACATTTGAAGAACAAGCTTAATTAATACATAATTTCATTTTGATTGGTTTCTGAACATACAGAACATAGCTCAATAAGGAACTTGTTTTATGCCTTACATCTTTTTTCACATAGAACTGTTACAAGTTATTCACATTTCATTTCTAAGTTAAATTATAAATTTAATAAAAATATGCTTATTAACTTGGCTTTCATCTAACAAATAATCTTTTTATTCAATTTTCACTAGCCTTTCACTCCATGTGATCTTAAGTCAACTGAATTTAAGTTAACTAAAATTAACATTGTATTTAAAGATAACAAGTTATTATATGAAAATTTTCCCTGATGCTAGTACTTTTTTTTTTTTTCTTGGAGACCTTATAGTTTTATGACTACTATTGCCAGTTTGGGTTTTTATCGTTAAAGGATGTCTTCATGGGAACAGGCACTAAACGTTAAATGTGGCATATAATTAACAAAGAAACAAGGAAGAAGCAATGGTCTAAACATGGCCCTTTTTTTTCGCTGGAGTCTTGTCCTAACCCATCAGCAGAGAACATGTGTGGTCATAAAGTAGCACATTAATGCATTCTTTCCCAGTCAGAGTAAGCTGCATCAAGCTTGCCAAATTCCAACTCAGGTAGCTCCATTTTTCCAGCCCACATTCCTGCTGCTTTTTCAATTGGGTGAATTATTTTTACTTCCCATCTTTTAAAGAGTTGCTGGCTCACATAGGTTATCAAGTTTCCATCCCAGTGGCTGCTGATTTCCACAGCGAGTGAATGATCTCTCAAAGGTACTTTGGGATGAAAGGGAGTGGATAAATGTGAAGAATTACATTTTTATTTCTTCTCTTTGGAGGGATTATTCTATAACTTTTGTTTAGCTTGGAGGGCTCTTATGATTTGATTTCTCTTCTGAATAAGTGAAACAGCCACCCAGATGGCAAGCACTTCACATTTCAGCATAGTGTAATTCAATTTGGATGTTCAATGAAACCCGCTTGGAAATGTCCCTCCAGTAATATCCCTCTCTTAGAAATTTCAGTTATAAATTTCTGGCTTCATGCATAAACAAGCTCCAGGGAAACAGAATGGTGAGTGGCAGGGTAGATAAAGAAATAATTTTTAACCATTTTAAATTAAATGCTGAAAATAATTGGTCTTGGGATTTTACTATGGAAAGCATGTATACTATGTAATTTGCAACTTCCTTTGAATTTTCTTATAAATAATATTCCCAAATTTATGTTTTTGTTTGTTTAGGGACCTATGTGAGTATTCCATTCAGTCAATAATTACAGAAAGCCTATTCTATTCTATGCAGGCCACTGTGCTAAGCACTGTCTGGTAAAGAAAGATGAGAATCAAGCCTTAAAAACACCAGTTACCATCAAGTCCATTCGGACTCACAGCAACCCTCTAGTTCATTGTAGAACTTCCCCAAAGGGTTTCCAAGTCTGTAAGATATATGGAAGCCGACTGCCATTATCTTTCTCCCTGTGGAGCGGCTGGTGGGTTCAGACCGCCGACCTTTCAGTTTGCAGTCCAGTGCTTAACCACGGTGCCACCAAGGCTCCTTGTTCAAGCCTTAAATCTATGAAATCACAAAAATCACTAAAAACTTTAGAAAAAATTTATAAGTCTATCAAATGCATATATTTTAACTCATATGTTGCCAAATTCCTAGTAATTTCTAACATTGATGGATCTGGCATTTGTTAAAACTGTCATCCCTAAGGTTTCAATTCCTACTAAGTCTAAATAGACTTAGCCAAACCTAGACTCATATTTAAAGTCTCCGTTGTTCATATTCATACGCATACACACATAGAGCAACCCAAAACATACTAAAATAATGTTGTCTTTAAAAATGTGATTTCTTTAAAAATATTGTACCTCTTTATTCAGGTCCCTTACAAACTTAACTATTATGTGAAATTCTCACTTTGCAGCCTTTTCAAATTGTAAAGCTGAAGTACATCAAACTTACTTATTAATTAGAACGAATTAAGTATTTTCTTATATAAATTTTAAAAATGTTACTTTTAGGGCCTGAGTCCCAGTATTGAGATGGAGGAGTGTAGGTTATCAAAATCAACTATCAAGAATACACATTAACTTCTGTATCAAATCACAATCAAGCATAACATACTTTAATTCATCATCAGTAGGGAGCTTGAACCTTAACAGTCTACCGGTAGTCCCTGACTTACAACGCATTTGAGTTATGACGAACTGCACTTATGACCATTTTTTTTTTTTTTTTGGTAAATTTTATCATTAATAATATGTACTACATACAGTGTTGCAGTGCATAAAATTTGCTGATATCATCATTCTCAGATATTCACTTGAAGATGTTCAAAGATTGGATTTATAAAGATATTGATAATAAAAGGCAATAATAATGAAAGCTATTTAAAAAAAAATGACTGACTTACGTTGGAGTTGCTGGAACGGAACCCTGTCATAAGTCGGGGACTACCTGTACTTAGAATATGAAGTCTCTACATTTTCTTTTTAACGCTTTCACATTTCTACAAATATGCCAATCTAATAGTAACAAATAACTCTAAATGATCATAATGCAATAATAGAACCCAGTACATCTGTGCCATATCTATATCAGAACCTGTGAAACACTGAGAGAACAGAATCATTCCTATTAGCTAGATTTTTATAAAGTATTAATGTAATTGCACACTGTGAATAGTAATTTATTCAATGCAAAATGTGCTCTATGAGGTATTAAGTGACAATTTGCTTTTCCAGAATGAGACACATATACTTTATAGCATCTGCACTTACTTTAGAGTCAAATCAGCTCAAATGAGCATGGTTTGAAATTTAATATTTTTGCCCCCAACACTAATAAACAGACACGACGGGGCAAAGTATTCAAAGAAATGCTGAAAAAACGTAACTAAAGTCGAAAAACAAGTTTCAAAAACAACCTGACTGCAACCTGATGACAGTGGCAATGCTAATTACCAATCAAGGTAGAGATGAAGGAGGAGCCGGGGTCAAAAGGACATCTGCCCCTTCCTCGCTCAGATCTGTGCGATTCCAGGTGAAACTGGGGCTCCTTGAAAGAAAACCAGAAAAGCCATTAGGAACGTCTCAACTTTAATAAGAAATTGCTTGCTGAGATAAAACGTATTAAACCTTGATTATTCACAAAACACTTATTGTAAATAGGACACCAGTGAGTGACATTAAGTTATTTAGGAATAAAATGGGTTTTATAAATAAGCACATGGGTTTTGCAGACCCCTCTGTGTTCTCTCACTCCCAAAAAGTACACAGGTGGTAAAATGAATGAAATCAGCAGTTTTTACCACTTGATTAGACACTGTTAGTTATTCTCAGATGTGCCAGTTAAACATTCCAACGGAATTGAAACTTGCTGCAGGAAGGTTACTAAAAAGGCATTTCAGTGATAAAAATGGAAGTGGGCTTTTATTACAGAAAAGATATTAATTTTTTTTAGTGATTTGTAAGATAATAAAATTTACTATTAATATTTTGGAAATTTTATTTTCAATTAGTTTTACTCTTCATCACATATTCTTTGTATAAATATCTAATATTTGACAATTAAAAAATGCATATTGCATAAGTAATTACTGCAATATGTGTGTATAAATAAAGGTCATATTCTGATTAATATTTCAATGTCTGGATTCACACAAATGAGATATTAAAAATAAATATTTCCATGAAAAATTGCTACTTTACTGGCTTGTATTTCATAGCACATAACCACAGAACTTTTCTCTATATTTTCCCAGATTTCAAAATTCTCAGTAAATTATATTTTTACAATTAATCTCCATTAAGTGTGCTACAAATGGTTGGGGTAAAATAGTTTAGAAATATGACAATAAAAATCAATATTGAAACCTTTGTGGAAAAAACTGGTTTGCAATGGAATATTGCTAATAAATATTGTTTTCAGCCCACTGTGGTGTCTATGAGTGGGGGGGCCTGGTGGTGCAGCGGTTAAAGTGCTTGGCTACTAACCAACAGGTCACTGGTTCAAACCAACCAGCCACTCTGCAAGAGAAAGATGTGACAGTCTGCCTCCTTAAAGATTCACAGCCTTGTAAACCCTGTGGGGCAGTTCTACTCTGTCCTATAGGGTTACTATGAGTTGAAATCAACAACATTGGTTTGGTTTGGGTGGTGTTTACGAGCAGCCCTGCTCATCTGTGACTCACGAACCTATAAACAATCTTAAAGTCCTGAAAACGTCTGAGTGGTGTATGAGCGTGACCCTTCTCTCTAACATGATCTTGACTTTTCTAGCCACTGAATTTACTCCAAATTATCTCCTCTGTCTCTGGTCATTCTTATTTAATTCACTTTCCTCTTTCTCTTATGATATACTAAAGTCGCCATTCTGATACTTCCACTGCAAAACTTTTTTGGTAAATGCAGAGTTCAGGTGACTATTACCCTCCAGTCTTATCCTTAGAATTGAGGATATGGAACAAATGTGGCCTCCTGACCCAGAGGTGTGGCTAAAGTGAACCTTTTTAGCCACTATACACTAATTAGTAGAGGGCATGAATGTCAGTAAACAATTGGAGAGATTTTTGTGTTCACTTCCCACAGAAGACAAATTTGCAATGGCATAAAGAGAAAAAGTTTGTTCAAGTTAAAATTATTGGTCTGCCCAGCTGCTAACAGGGTTTCACCTAAATTTGCAAAATATACTGAAAACATTATATGGAGGAAGAAGCGATCAAGTCTGTGAATGTAGTACTTGTTTGTCCCTTTAGTCATTGCCACATTATAGAATATTTGGAAAAAAATAGGTAAGGTATAAATATTATACTTGTTTTAATGCAGTCAATGTCTGCGTCACAGAAAGCGAGTGAAGAGAGATACTTATCTCCTTTTTTAGCTCATGATCACTATAGCTTAAAAATTCTGTGAGACTCAAATTTTGATTTCTAATGATGACATTTAATAGATACAGTAGACACCTTAAATGCTAAAACTGAAGCTCTAGGAAGAGACAAGTGCACTGCTTATTTATTCAAGAAAGTACAATACGTTCACTTAGACTGTCAAGTGGATGAAACAGAAAATGAAAACTGAAAGAATTCTCAGATCAAGAGAATCTCTGGTTATGAAGAACTTCAGAGTTAGAGAAAAGAAATGAAGTCAAATTTTTTTTAGAAAAGTTACAGGTTTCCATAAGCATAGATCATAATCTAGGCTCTTAAGGCTATTGTTCATCTGTGAATTTCACCATGTGCCTGAGGCTTCAAGTGTCTGACATTTCAGTGTGTTCATTTTAAGAGAAATTGATGGATTCCAGAGGAAACTATATTCACAAAGAAGCCTGTAACCCTACATTTTGAAAACAATTAGGTAAAACCCAGAATTATTTTAGAATTTTTAGTTATGCACAAGGCACAAATCTGTGGAATACATAAATCTATTTGAGTCTGTGAAATGACATATTCTTTTGTGAAACCTCAAATTTGACTCTAAAAATCCTCATGAGAGATATGTACCTCAGGTCCAGGCTCAGATGTACCTTCGCTGAATGCCTCCCACCTTTAACCGGGACAGTTCAAATACCTGTCTCTCATTGATTTGATTAATAGCTAAAGTGGGTCAATAAGTGGACCTTTTAAAATAATAAGTTAAATTGAACTTTTTTTATCTGCTTTTTGCATCACTGCTAAAAAAATCCATATTTTGTAGTATCTTAAAAGGCACATATATGTATATATATATACAACTTTTGTTTAAAAATGCATGTGTTCTGAAGTTTCTAATTTTTCAATCCTCTATTGATTTAAAAAAGATGAAATACTGGAATATCCCTGCTTTACGTAAGTACCATTCTCTTTATTGTACAAAGGGAATAAAGTTCCAATTAGTTCCAAATTTTTAGGGAATACTTTCATTTTACCCATACAGGATAACACTTGTTTAATACTCTGAGAGTCAATACAAAAATGGTAGACAACATCAAATTACATTGTAGATTGGGATACTTCTTAAATTTGAACAAGTAAATTGTAATGAGTATTTGAAGATTGTAGTATTTGTAACAAAATAATGAAGTTATTTTGTTACAAATACTACAATCTTCAAAACCTGAAAGTTCCATAACTTCCCTATCTTATCATTCTGGACAGGTCTTTGACCATGTTGCCAACCTTGGTTGGTTATTAGCTGAGCATTTTAATTGCTACATTAGGATATTGTTACATACCACAGAAAGCTCCATATTTTTTGTATTAATCAGAATATGTCACATTTTTCCACAGTAGTTATAATATAGGAGCTGTCAATATTTTTTATTTGAATCATGGTATGCCTTAAAAAACAGTAATATTGCTTTTTTACTTTATTTTTGAGTTCCTAAGTTAAATGAGGTTGTAACAATAATATGTTGTGTAGTTTTTATAACAAGGGCTATTATTATGTTATTAATAAAATAACATTTGATAGTTAAAGCTAGTAATGGGCTGCCATTTTTCATATGAATGACTTGGAGGCTATGATCATTTGTAATTTTACCTCGTTATTCTTTTGAGCCTAGCCTAATTTGTTTATAAAAGTCATAGCTTTATTAGAACTGTTCAGATGCCTGTGACAAACAAGTGAGTGGTCTCAATGAATTTCATCTAAGCACGTTATGTGCAATCGTAACTGTGAAACATTTATTTGGCACCTCATAGCAGTTAAACAAAAGAAGTCAATCCCAGAATAGGTAAGAAGATGAATTTATCTTTCACTTACTAAATCGGTGCTTTATGACATTGTGGAAAAAAAAAAAATCTGTCAATGATTAAGGCTAATCAAAACTGAAAGCAATTTGCCTCTTTTATGTGCATACTAAAAAAAATATATTTTTAACCCATCTATCTTTGTTAATAGCAAGTGTAAGACTTCCACTGACTAAATCATGAAACATGAACAAGTTCAGCAAGGTAACTTCTGTTGGGAAATAACTGAATACTGCAACTACATCTCTCACCCAATTTTATTGCTCCTCCCAAACCTTTCCAACATGCCTTCTGAAATCTTTGTTCCACGGGAAATAAATCCCTACCACCACACTCAATTTGCAACGTGCTTCCAACACGTCTTTACTTTAATTGATCCATAGCTCCTGTGATAGGCAGAATAATAGTACCCCCCTGCAAGATGTTCGCGTTCTAATCTCTGGAACCTGGGAATACCTTACGTGGCAAAAGCAACTGCACAGATATGATTAAGTTAAGGACCTTAAGATGGGGAGATTATCCTACATTTATCCTGGCGAGCCTAATGTAATCGTAAGAGTCTTTAAAAGAATCAGAGAAGGAGATGTGATGATGGAAGCGGAGAACCAGAGTGATGTGGTGTGAGAAGAACTTGACCCATGATTGACAGCTTTAAAGAAGGAAAAATAGGCCCATAAGCCAAGGAATGTGGGTGGCCTCTAGTAGCTGTAAAAAGCAAGGAAATGGATTATCCTCTAGAATCTCAAGAAAGAATGCAACCCTACTGACACCTTAATTTTAGACCAGAGAAACTCATTTCAGACTTCTAACCTAAAGAATTTTGAGATAATAAATTTGCATTACTTTAAGCCACTAAGCTTTTGATAATGTACTACAGCAGCCAAAGAAAACCAGCACAGCTCCCATGAGGATATTGTTTCATACCTAAGTCCTTTCAAATGGTGGCTCCCTTTTCTCCCACACTTTATATTCCGGGAGACAGTGCGAATATAATTTGCGCCCCCAAAGCAAATTCCATACCGCTATACTGTAAACCATTCTTATCAAGACTCAGGTCACCCATCTATGCAATCCTTTAAATATCTTTGTTCCTGTCATCCACTGAAATCTAGAGCATCCACTGTCACAATCACTGCTTCACAGGATCCTTCCACATTCTAAATCTACTCTTAACTTCCTTGTCCATGTGCTCATCCCACAAGCTAACCTCATGGTTCCTATCTCCTCAGTGGCAATGAACTTCAGGACCACCACCCTTCAGCTACAACACGAATGCCACACTGTGAACCTTGTCATCCAGTGCAACTGCTCAACTCTGAAATAAGAAGCT